TATATGTATTTTTTTTTTTTATTACAAACCTTTATATTACAATGATATACAATAAATGTCCTTCCCTGAAGTATATAAAATTTAAAAAAAAAAAAAAAAAAAATTAATAATAATAATTCGAAGAAAAATTTATAAAAGAAGAAAGTTAACGTAAGAGCATGGATAAATGTACAATAATATTCGTGTCGATCGTTGTTATATGCACGATTGATGATGGTAAAAAATAAGAACAACAAAAATAAGAACAACAAAATTGAAACTAACTTCCGTTAAAAATATTATAAATAACTTTGAAAAAGTTCTCTGAAATAACTTGACAAATCAAAACAATTCATCTATTTCTGACATAACATTTGCAATCTGTTAAATAATATAAATTCGTGATGTGACATTTTTGTTAATACTATACTAAATATTGGAATGCAATTGTTACTATATACAATGAAATATATTAAACAGTGCATTCCTTAATAGAAATAACGTTATAGTTGGAACTCTCTAGAGCTATATACATATCGCCAATAAATTTTCATAATTCTTCAATGAAGCAAGCGAACGGAATGTGGTGTTAACGTCAAAAAAAAAAAAAAACAAAAAAAAATTGCAAACGATATCCTAATGGAATTAAGAAAAGTCATTACAGTTCGATAGCTCATTATTTATGTAAAATCGAATAATGCACGCTGGTTTAACTTCAGTTCATTTTGTGTGTTTAATTATTATTAAATATATCGTCGTATCGATAATTAAATGATCGAAATTACAAAAATTTGTAATAATATACGACGGAGTGATATTATATTCGTATAGAAAAACAAAAGAAAATAATATTTATTATTTATCATATATATATAAATATATATATTTTTTGATCGATAAGTATTGATCGATTCAAAATATATATAAATGAATTTAAAGAATGATTAAATGACGTTTACGCATATCAAATGCATTACTAAATAATTAGGCTACCTATAATAGAATAAGATATTGGTGTCTGATGTGTGCTATCTTATGTAATATTATTCCTTTCTACATTTATTGTTTGTAATCACGTTAATCGTTTTATTCCGTATTTCTTAATAAAAAATGATAGAGATTGTTATCACTTTTCCAATTTATAAATATTAAAATTTTATATATAGAATATAAAATTGTCTTCATAAATTGATTTTTCTTTTTGTTTATATTGCGAAGGAAAAAATCGAATATCATTATACTCACACCGGCTACGCGATTTCTTTTTTTATCATGAATTAAAAAAGAAAACATTCGATATATAATATAATATATTCAATACATTTTTTACCACACACACACATCCACATGTCTTTCCTTCGTCTCTTTTTTAAATCGCTATATATATAGATATATATATATAGATCCATTTAAAAAATAATATGTTTATACTTTAGATAACATGAGATATTTAATATTTAGTATGTAGACAAATTATTTCGATGAAACAATTATCTTTGAGACATCTCGTGCGTAAAAAATATTACCTTATATATATATATATGTATATATATATATATATATTACGGCTTTTATTCAGCAGATCTTCTTTCTCATCGCAATTTGTTATGTTTTCCTTCGCCAAAGAGCCACAAACAAGTTCTATCAGCAATATAAGCAAGCACAAAGTCTGCCACAAGTATTTGAACCAAAACTTTTCGAAACTGTAATCAATTGGACATTGATTAATATTTATTAATAATTGTGTATTAAATATAATACTTACATCACTTGGAAAATCAACGATTTCGAATTGCGAAGCTATGTCTGGTAAGAATCCACAAGCTAATGATAAGACAACAGCAGAACTACCCAAGAGACTATACAATAATGATTTATTTTGTGTTAGACTCTCCATAAATGGTTGACCCTACAAAATAAAAATTTATCTAATTCAAACAAAATGACGAATAAAATTAAACAACAAAATAGTAAAATTCTTTATAAGCTACACAAAATTATTTCCGTATTTTTGTAAATCATTAATAAATTGCTTGACAAAATAATTTATTACCCGATAATTGATGGCAAATGTAGATATTTGAAGTGCCACAGCTATTATATAAACCGTGCTGTTAATTAAACTTGCTTCAAATTTTTCTTCATCTTTATCGTCGGAAGTATCGACAGAAGAAACATTTTGACTTACGTTGCTATCGGCAGCAAAAATTGCTGCTAATTTGTCATCGCTGAGTTAATAAAGAAAAAAAAAAAATAATAATTATTACTTAGAATACATAAGTAACTCTATATAATAGTGAAAACATAGCAAATCGTGATTCATTCAATCGAATGGATTTTACCTTGGAGATAAAAGCGTAGCTTCTTTCACTAAATACACAAGACAGAAGAAATGTACAGCAAATTGTAGCAACACCGTTGCAATAGTGTATAAATTAAAAATATTTGGCAGTGGTCTTTGTTTAGATAAAGTTTTCAGTGGTTTTGATGTGGATATAAATAGAAAACAGGCTGCTAAAAGGATACCCTGTAAAGTTGCCTGAGCATCACTGAATTTAATACCTTCCAAATACAGAACAGATTGACTATAAGCAAGTACTAATGCATTCAAAGCCAAAATTTTAAACATTTGCAATGTTGTAACTAACGTACACCGTCCTTGTTTTATAACGTGACATACTACAACACAAAAATTATCATTTTATTTTTGATTCTAATATTATATGTATAATTAAAAAATCCCTTAACCTCTTAGGCACAGCTGAATGTTGCGCGAGTCTATTTTTCTGTACAACAGGCTTCAACGAGAATTACGTGTAAGTGATGAGACTACGATGTGTGACGAACAATGGCTGTTCTCTACGCGAGTACATTTTAATGAAATTTTTTATGATGAAATTATAATTTTTCTCAAAGAAATGATACATATATGTACTTTAACTTAGACAATTTACGTTAATAATTAAAAGATGTTATCCTCGAAAGCCGTTATAATGGCGCGTCGTACTGAAAGATTAGTTACGCGCAAGCCACTATCGTGGTGCGTCGTGCCTAAAAGGTTAATAATAAATGTATACTCACTACACTGTATAGAAGACATTTTGCTAGTAAATGGTGCAGCAATGGATGCATCTCCAAGTTTTATGACAGTAGATTGTTCCAGTTCTTCAATATCTTTTAATATTTTGGGTAGTTTTGTTTGCATACTAGATTGTTGTTGTCTTGTGTTCATTCGAGGCCCGTTACTTGTTAACGTATTTGTCATGGCTACGTGCGTATTTCCAAACGACGAATTTTCTCGTCTCTCTGCCGATACTCTTTCAGGTAGACCAGACAATATTGCAACACCTGAATATTGTAATATTAAATAATTCAGAAAATACTCAAATAGAATAATATATATTTTTTTTTCTTTAGATTTTTCTATAGACTTACCCACTTGTGCATGTTTTAATGCACCTACATCATTTGTTCCATCACCGCACATCAATGTTGTATATCCCAATGATTGTAAGGAAACAATTATAAACTCTTTCTGTTTTGGCTCGCATCGAGCAAATATTACAATATGTGGTAACAATTGTCGTAAAAGATTTATGTTATTTTCATTTAAATACGAAAGTCCCTGAATAAAATTGAATAAAATTAATGTCCAATAGGAAATGAAAAAAAAGAAAAAAAAATAGATCATTAATCTTGTACTAAAGAAAATTACCTCTCCGGTTATACAAAGAGTATGTTCTTTCCAAATTTCATTGCCTTGCGATTTCACATTTTTTATGCTTAATGGTATTTTCGTTTTTCGATCTACACTTTCCCAAAACCATTCACCATCATTTTCCATTAAAATCAGAGTACTTGGTTTTTTTGTAAAATGCAATTCACGACTGACGTGACAAGCCGTTAAGGGATTATCTCCGGTAATCATAACTACCTAAATAAAATGATGTATTGTAATCAGCATTATAGAATAAAATTAAAAAAAAACGTTATATTGACATTTTATATTAATTTGTCTTACAGAATGGGAAGCATTTAAAATTTCTTTAATGACTGCCTTAGAATCAGGTTTAAGCGGACAACTTATAATAACAAATCCAGCAAATGATAAATTTTTTTCCAAATTTTCTCG